TATGCTCGGATTGACACCCAAATATTCTGAAATGTTCGTATTAGAACTTCCGGTGCAAATGCCAAGCAATACAGCATGACGTTTCCAAATTTCTTGCAGAGTGAATTCCTTCATGGCGATCTTTTTCTCACTGACTCTACTATACAGGGCGGTCAACAAAATCAAAAACAACTTGCATGCGCGAATTAAAAATATAAAATGGCGACAATTTACCCATCACACCCGTTATATCAAATGAGGAAATGGAAGCGAGTATCTTGGTTATGTGCCGTGTCCCTTCCAGACGTTGAGATCATGGCCCTCTACAACCTCTTCTCCCTTGTAGCTATTAGTAACGTAGGTCATCCTCTGCCTTCCCACACTATGGAAAATTATAAAGAGCCCAAGGATTACCGCTAGTGCTTCTAATTCTTTCCCCTTTTTTTTTCAGTTATGACTTTGTGCCCAGAGTCCCAGTAGGACCTGAGCAGTCATGGCTGTCCATACTTCCTATACTTTAATTGTAACTATTTACACTGTTGTGAAGTAAAGATTGCACCCTGGTGACTCTATGAACTGGTGCAATACTAAAGAGTTCCATGTTATGAGGTCCTGAGGAGTCACAACGGATTCAGTCCCAGGCTCGCGAAAGACAAGACCTCTGTCTTCTGGCAGAGCAGAGAGTGACTCCTTCGGAGTTATTTTCGGATAGAGACTCAGCTGAGAAAAAACAATGTGTCTGGGTCCGCTTTTTCGGGGTTGGGTAAATTTTGACCAATGGTTACAATTAAAGTATAGGAAGTATGGACAGCCATGGTCCAGGTGGAAATGCTCGAGAGCTCCACATAAAACTTTGTGTCGTATCTAGTCCGCAGTGGGGCGACAGGTAAATACCAATCTCATCTAACCCCTGCCGAGTCAGTCCCAGGCTTGCAACAATACAAGACCCTTGACTTCGGGCAGAGATTGATAAGACCTCTGACTTCAGAAAGAGATTTACAAGACCTCTGTCTTCGGGCAGAGTGTGTGTCAGTCGGGGCTTTGTTTTCGGATAGAAACAAGGCTGAGAAAACCTGACAAGTTGGAGTGAGGCAGTTCGTTATCTGGCGTGCGACTGACAAGACCTCTGTCTTCGGGCAGAGGCTGACTCGGTCGAAATTCTGTCTTTTCGGGTGAGAAAAACAGGCAAGTAATGTACCCGAGCCTGCTTTTGCGAGGGCTAGATAAATTTTGATCAGTGGCCCGGGTGGAAACGCTCGGGTTCTCCACAGTAAACTTGACCTTGTGCCGTATCTCATGTCTGTGAGGAGACTAGTAGATACTAGTCACATCGGAATCAGGTAGTTCGCTGCCAGGTTAGTGACAGACAAGACCTCTGTCTTCGGGCAGAGGGTGACTCAGTCAGGACTCTAACACTGCTGAAAAAATAAGTACCCAAGCCAGTTTTCGCGGGGACTGGGTAAATTTTGATCAATTGACCGCATGGGAACGTTCGGCCTCCCCACAATAAATCCGACTCAGTGGGGTAACCGAGTAGATACCAGTCGTACTGGAGTCAGTCTTCCTACTAACTATACAGGCGTCCGGCAATAGCTTACGCATTACGTATAGAGGATAGTTTAACGAATTACGTTATACCAAGAACGAATGTGTGTTATAACAATAAACCTACCATAAGGAAGTTATAATATACACCATCTACATTGTTCCGAGCGTTGTCCTCATCTTTATTGTTATATTCACGAGGTTTAGGCTGTTGTTCACTCCGGCCTTCTTCAAGTGATATACGTTGGAATTTCGAACCGGGGTAGATTGCTCTAGTTCCACGTACCATGCCTCTTCCGGATATCTCCGTTTTCAGTTATTTTCCTTTAGTAACTCAATTCTCCAAGTTCTTGTTCACCTCTGGTATTGAACTCACAACTCTTTGGGTCAAGTCATTGGATAACTTCACTCAACACTTTTTTTTATCCCTGAGCCCCTTGGGGACCTCAGTGTATGAATATTTGAGAAGAAGGTCGGAACGTATAACGACCGAAACGTCGTGAATATGACAAGATGAAGACAACAGCCCGAATAAGGTAAATAGTGTAAATTCTTATACTATATAACACTAAACTGTTTGTCGCTTTCCTATACATCTTAGTTGCTCTTCTGGCATCTCTTTGCACACACTTTCTCTTTGCTCTCTGTATATGCTTTGATTGTCAAATTCTCCAAGTCCTCTTTCCTCATTATCTCGCAGAATTCACGCTTTCTGTTTCTGTTTCTAAGCATAACTGATTTTTTGTTTACATTTTCCTTGTAACTCCCTCGTTACTCAATTGCTTTGATGTTATTTTATTATATTTGTTTTTATTTTATTGTTCCTTTTTTGCCGTTTATTAGTCCATAACATGTAGATTATTTAATCCCTTTCCCGGCGTAGACGTGTATATCTTTACCGAAAAGCGCTTTTTCAGACACAAACGAATAAACACGTCCAACGTTCAAAAACCAGCTACAAACGTGCTTAGAGGTCGATCTTGATTCTTTTATGACCTTCTGAGCTTGAAACGAATCCAATTGTCAACTCATACGTCTGGTAGAGGTGTTAACCACCGCTCGAGTATTTCAAGGTACCTCTGTTTCTTAGTTACTATATTTAAAATAAATAAAAAAATTCTTCTGATAATGAAACGTTTTTCCTAAAATAATTGTCGGGGTAGGGGTTACAATTGAGACATATTTGGGATTAAAAGATTAATCTTTTTTTTACGAGTAAATACTCGATTAGCAGTTCTTTTCTTAGATAACAATCATTTTTTCAAATGCAAGTTCTACTACTGAACATATAGTTGGTTAGAGAGTATTCATAACATTCCCAAGGGTCTTTGCGCGTAAGTTTATGTAAAAAACGCGAATGGAATTCGAACGCAGCTCTCCGACTTCTCATTCCGAGCCGATATCCATTATACTACCCACAATCCCCTGCTCACATGATTCATCCCAGGTATTCTTAGTACTTTTCATCATCTCTTCTTCATCTGTGACGAAAATATCCAGCATTCACTGCCATGTAGGACAATTAATATTACAAGATTTACTAGGGAAGCTACATTACGGCGGGGTGGAAAGTGTCTGAAGTCGAGATGCCATGGCAGGACACATAATACTGCAGATTGTTCTTTCGATTTTATCAAGAATCTCTAAATATATAGTGAAAGCACCAGACCTGATGTGGCAGTAATATTCAAATCATGGCCGAACGGTCGACTTATAAATTTGTAAGATAGATTCTGCCTGTGTGTGTGCGTGCGCACGTGAGTGCGTGTGTGTGTGTGTGTGTGTGTGTGTGTGTGTGTGTGTGTGTGAGAGAGAGAGAGAGAGAGAGTATGAGATAGAAAGAAAGAGAGTGAGATCACCTGATTACTTAAAAAATATATATTTCACAGATCCCTCTATCAAAATGTTGTGCTTTGGTACAAAATTCCCAAGTTGGCGAAATTCATAAAAAATTAAATAAATAAATGTTGCCAGACAACACTTTTATGTCTACTAGGTACAAATAATAATTTCGAATGTTCATTTCTTAGCTCGGTAATCCCTCCCTCCTGGGAAGTCTGACGCAACATAATCTTTCTATGTATCCCTTTACCTTAATGTTGTTCTTGTTTCGTACTCAAAATGTCCCCAAAATTGTGAATATTGCTAAGATGATCCAAAAGTCTCCAGGATTTTTAAGAAATTTTACTTTATGTCAATTCACATCCTCTTTATTCAGTGATCAATGTGTGCTCTCGTGTTTTATATGACATTAAGCCATCTTTCAACTAAAATTTCCGTTCTATTTCTTTGGTGAATATCTAGCAAGAGCATTTACGTTGTATTCATTTTATTTCAACCGCTGAGCCAACAGTGAATGAATCATTGAGATAAACAAACGACAATCAAAAAATTTCAGCCTCCTTTGTTTTCTTGATTTCTCCTAATAAGTCCAGTTTTATTTGCCATTGGCACTCTCCCTCTCCCCCCTCTATCTCTCTCTCTCTCTCTCTCTCTCTCTCTGCCACATCTCTTGAATATTTATGGCTCTCCACAGCTTTCCGTCTTACGTTGTTTCATCAATACTTGCTCCTTTATAACACATTTCTTGCTTTGCGCTACTTGTTCCTGCATACATTTTCTCAATTTCTCAAGCAGCAGTTCACTCTCTCTCTCTATTTCTTTGTGCAGCGTAGTTTTAAGGAAAATGGGTAATCATGGTTCTCCACAGCTTCCTGTCTTATGTTCCTTTCAGCATATACCTGCTTCGTCTTATTGATGATTGTTCCTTCATCTATTTTCTTAAATCTCTCAAGTAAATTCTCTTTGTTGTATGTGCTATGTCTTTTTCGCATGTGGGCGTTCATGGTTATCCACAGCTTCTCCTATTTTGCTACACTTAATAATTTCTCTTTTATTATCAATCTTTGTTTGTTCTTCCATTTATTTGCTCAAATATGTCAATTGCTTTTTTTCTCTGATTCTCTTACTTTTGATGCGCCCTTTGAGTGTTTGATTCTCTAAACTTTCTTTCCTCATGATATGTCTAAAACATTTTATTATTCTTCTCAAAACCTTCTCATTTTTCACATACTCTGTCCATGTTAGTCTCACCATTGTTCGGTAGAACCATATATCGATTACCTTATGTTTTTCGCCATTTGTGACGTTATTATCCAGCATTCACTGCCGTGCAGCCGAGTAAATATTACATAGTAATCCAGCACTACCCCAGAGGAACGATGGTCATATTCGTATTTTCGACAGTTCCCGGAAACGTTTTCATTATTTTCTTTTTCGGCATTCCACATTATCCTAGATAACCTCATCCTCTCTTTGACGAAATTTTATCGACTATTCACTCACCACTAATTCAATTCCAGGTAGATCTGCCGACCTGTCAGTCCAGAAGTGCCTCCATACATCGAGGTCTTCTATTAGTATAAATAGCAAAATTCTATCCACCGCCGGCTTGGTAGGACTGTCACGTAGCTTAG